TTTCTTTTCACTCTGTGGGTGACTTATTTTGCTGTAAATAAAAAAACTTTGTAATAAGATGAAATCCCAGTTGATCCTTGAAGTACTTCCTAGGTAGTTTGTTCTTGTTCATGAAACCTTTGTCTACTGCCATGTCTTCAAGATTTCCACCTAATTTCTAGCAGATTTCATATTTCTCTTTTAATATTTAGATCTTTGATCCATTTGTGCCAGGGATTTAGCTCAGAGGCACAACCACCTGCCTGCGAATTGCAAGGCCATGAGTTGGATCCCTGGCACCAAAAAAAAAAAAAAAAATCTTATTTGTACTTTAGTGCATGGCGATAGCCAGGGGTTTGTTTTTAGTTTTAGTATTCAGCATATGGAAAAAAGTTTTTTCAGCACCATTTATTAAAGAGGATTTCTTTCACTGAACATCTTTGGCACCTTTCTCAGTGAGAGTGTGGCTGAGTGTAGGTTGTGTCTGCGTCTTTTCTGTTCCAATGATCCTCAAGTCTGTTTGCCAGTACCATGCTAATTTCATTACTGTAGCTTTGTAGTATAATTTCAAGTCGGGGATTGTAATGTCTCTTGCTTTGCCTTTGTTGCTCAGGATTCTAGGTCTCTTCTGGTTCCAGATGAATTTTAGGAATGTTTTCTCTAGACCTCTGAGGTACACTAATGGTATTTTGATCAGGATTGTATTAAACCTATACAACAGTTTTGGGAATATGGACACTTACACAGTGTTGGTCCTTCCTTCCATAAGCAAGGGTATCATTCCATTTTCCAGTATCATCTTTAAACTCCTTTTTCAAAATCCTGTAACTTATACTGTATAGATCTTTCACTACCTTTGTTAGAAGGATTCCTAAAAATCTCAGTTTTTTGGATACTATTGTGAAAAGTGTTGTTTCCCTGGTTTCTCTCTCACTGAGTTTGTTATTCGTGTACAAGAAGTCTACTGATTTTTGATCGTTGACTTTGTATCCAGCTACACCTCAGAATTTGTTTGCTAAATCTGGAAGTGTTTTGTGTAATTTTGGGGGTCTTCTAAGTAGAGTATCTTGTGGTCTCCAAATAATAATTTCACTTCTTCCTTCCTTAGTCCTCCTTTTAGTTCTTTCTCTTGTATAATTGCTCTGGCTGTTTCCAGAACTATATGGAACAGAAGTAGTGACAGTAGATATCTTCACCTCGTCCCTAACTTTAGGTTGAAAGCTTTCAGTTTTTTTCAATTAGTATGATGTGGGCTGTTGGTCTGTCACAGAAGACTTTTTATCTGATTGAGGTAAAGACCATCTACCTATTCCAATTTTCTGTAGGATTTTTTTTAAATCATGAATGTGTGTTGGACTTCACCAAACCCTCTTTCTGCATCCACTGAGATAAGCATGTGGTGTCTGTCCTGAGTTTTGTTAACGTGCTGTAGTATATGTACTGCTTTGCCTATGTTGAACCATCCCTGCATTCATCCTGGGATGAATCAGAGTTGGTCATGGTGTGCAATTTCCATGATGATTTGCTGCATTCCATCGGCCCAGCTCCTGAGGGCAGCCTAGCCAGCAGACCATGAAGGCTGAGATGCTTGCAGAAAAGCCCTGACCCTGGGGTCAGCAGGGAGCTAGCCACCTGCCGACATGCCTCGCCTCTGCAAAGCACGAGGTGCTGCCCTACTGCCCAATGCCACGGGCTTCATGTCCCATCTTCATATATGCCTATGCATCAGCGTGGGCAGTGTCACTGTGCATCCTGTGACAAGGCCTCTCCGCCCTAAACCTTTGCTATGGCTGCACCATCCCTACTGCCCCGCGTGCGGAAAAGCAATGGAAGCCCTTTACCTGGACCACCCGATGGCAGACGCCATCTTGCTGCCCATCATGACCCCAGGAAGGCACAACTTCCCCGGCCAGCATGCAGCTTGCTATGGGCAGTGACTGACAGCTGTGGGCGGGACTTCCCTGACGTCACAGAGGCAGGTGAGCCGCCTGTGGTCACCGCCCACTCAGGGTGGGTCTGAAGGGCCCCGCCCTCTCCAGCCTGGGAACTGGATCTTGTGCTTCCTATTGTGTTTTGCACCAGAGGAGTTCCCATCCTGGCTCCACTGTGTTTGGTTGAGCTTACCAGTTGGCTAGGACTAAGTAGCTAGTCCCAGACACCCAAGTATCTAATTTCAGAATAGTTCAAATTTTAGTCTGGAGCCAAATGACTAAAACAAGCTTCTGTGATTTCCTGAAATGCACAGTCTTTGAAAAGCCTCGTGGATGGCTTGGAGGTCAGAAACAATGGCCACTTTGGTTTAGCAGGGGCCTCATGGTATTCTCTCGCCGATTGGCATTGCTTGATTTCAGCCGATTTGGTCGGCGGTTTCCAAATCTTGCGAGCATCTTAGAAACATTACTGAGCCCAAATACTGTCTGTCTGATTTAGTACGTATTTCTCTTAAGTCGTTGTTCCTGATAACTGCTGCTTCTGCTTCAATTTGGAGAGAACTCAAAAGTTCAGAGATCACAAGGACTATTCTGATTCAGTGTGTATTTATGTCTGTAGAGAGGAGCACAAGCTTTGTAAGTGTTCAAAACTTCTCTAAGCAGCATGTATTCTAAAATTAGTCTGATACCATTATTACACAAGCAAAGCACATAAGCAAAGTTCACAGAAAAAGTACAAACTTAAGATATTAAAAGACATTTAACCTCCATTACTCTAAGAGAAATGTAAACTATACCTTAACACTTTTCACCTGTCAAACTGGCAAACACACAGATTCAGACAACACAGGGGGAAGTATCTGTTGTGCTACCTTGGGTGGCTCTGATATATGTGACACTGGGTGATCAGTTCCGTGTTAGCAGAATAGAAAAGCAAGGTGTGTTGGCCTTAGAAATACTAGCTCTTTGAGCCAGGGATTTAGCTCAGCAGTGTAGGCACCTGCCTGACAAGCACATAGGTCCTGAGTTTGACACCGGGATCAACAGAAAAAAAAAAAAAAAAAGAAGAAGAAGAAGAATGGCTAGTAGCCAGGGTGCTGCTAAAGACATCAACTTGAGACAACTGGTCATTTTGCAAGCAAGATGTATAAGGAACTGGTGGCAGCCAAAAAGTCAGTGTTTGCAGATTTGCCCAGCTGATAGCTTCTAGACCCCAAAAGGTGAACAAAGAGCATTCTTTCAGGAATCACTTTTATTTTGAGGTTATTCTAGGTTCACATGGAGTTGTAAGAAACAGAAACTGCTGGATCCTTTTGCATGTGGCATTCACTAAGTGGTAACATTTTCAACAACTACAGCATAATACCATAACCAGGGTATTGGCACTGAGACAGTTAAAAGACAGAAGCCTTCTGTCACTAAAATATTCCTCCTGAAGGCTTTTTTAATAGTTGTTTAGTTGATGGATTGAGGTACAGGGTATTGAACTGAGGGGCTTTCCACTGAACTACATCCCCAGCCTTTTTTTATTTGGAGTTTGAGACAGGGTTCCACAAAGTCATGAAGTCCACCAGGCTGGCCTTGAACTTGTGATTCTCATGCCACACCCTCCCATCATGTGGGGCTTCAACATTGGCCCAAAAGCCCTGGGGTCAAGCAGTCACAGACTGTAACCTCCACAACAGTGAGCCAAAATAAGCCCTTTACGTGAGGTGTGCTGTGCACCTGTAATCCCAGCACTAAGGAAGCTAAGCCTTGAGGATCACAAGTTCAGGCTCCTCTGGGAAATTTAAATAAAAAGAAAAAGGAGTGGGGGATGTACTTCAGTGGTAGTCGCCCCTGGGTGCAATCTTCTGTACACAGGAAAGGAAGAACAACAAATGGCTGTTTGAACTGTTTATACACTTAACCTTCCATCACCACCAGGGGCAGCAGCACCACCTGATTCTCCAGGATGAGAACTAGCACAACTGCCCAGGGTGGGACACAACATTCAGGGAGATGTCAGGGAGGGGCAGGAGGCCGCGCCCCGTTCATAGCTTGAACTACCTTGAATGATTTATCCCTAGCTGAGCGCCCTTCTCTGCTCCTCCAGGGCAAAGCTGGAAGACTCAAAAATTCTTGGGAAGGAGCCTGGGTTTTTTCTTCAAGCTTAACAGTGATAAGCAAAGGACAGTGTAGGAAGAGACACCTTTGAAAGGGTCTTAATGAGAGTTTTGGAGGTCTTAAAAGGGCTCCTTGTGAAAGCAGGAAAACAAGAGTTAGAAACTGAACTCGGATTTGGCAGTGATGGCTTGGAAGATGTCTTACATTTGCATATATGCCAGCATTGTAAGCAAGTGTTTTATAGTTATTTAGAAGAGGAATCCAAGCTCTTCTGATCTGGTAACTTCCGTACTTTCTCGTTCTTTGATGCAATAGTTCATGTGCTAATTAACAGTTAATTAAACTTTATTACTTTTACCGTGGTGTTAAAGTCCTTTATTGTGTGCCAATCTGCACCTCTAAAATAAGTACCAGATGAAAGAAAATTAAACCACCTGCTATTTCATTGTCAAATGATGCATTAAACTAAAACGATTCCTAACAATTTATCAGTTTAATATATGTATAGTAAGTGTACTATTTTCATTTCAGGTTTGCAGATAGTTTTCTATAAACTACATTTGTATCAAGTCTGTATGTGAACAATTTTTTAAAAAGCTCCACAATAAGGTACACATAGGGTGTATTTAAGAAACTGGCCACCAAAGCAAAGAAGAAGCAGGGGAAGCACGGGGGGAGGAAACAAAGAAAGAGAAGGAGGAGGAGCTCGGGTAAGAAGAATAAGAAGAGGAAGAAGAAGAAAAGAAAAAACTGATACTGCAGATGCTTGTGAACAATCTGAGTTAAAAATGCTTAGATTGTGAGTAACTTGTTGTGCAAGTGTTTTGCAAGACAAGCAAGCATTTCTAATAAAATTTAACTTTATAAAGGTGATGTCTTGCAATACCAGTAGTACCTGACACTGAATGTCACATGATCACAACTGAGCCAATGGTTCCCTACTCCCACACCCACACAACAAATGTAAAATCAAATTAAAAATGATTAAAGAAGTGATTTTCAAGTGTGCTGACTTTTTTTTGGCTACTGGGAATCAAACTCATGACCTCACACTTTCCAGGCAGGCACTTAACACTGCTGAGCTAAATCCCAGGCCAGGGCCCCAGACCAGGGCTTTGGATTTAGCTCATGGCATAAGTGCCTACCTGGAAAGCAAGAGGTCAGAAGTTTGATCCCCACCACCAAAAAACAAACAAACAAACAAATCCCCATGCTGTTAAATGATCATATTGGTTAATCTTATTGCATATAAGATTACAAAAGAAACATTAATTCCGCTTGTATATGACTAACTCTAGTACATAGACAGAAATATGGCAAAATGGTCCCCATTTTAAATGAATTTTTAAAAGAAATTCAAGAGCATTCTAACTGATTGAAATCGAAAATGTTGTTTTTATATCCTCTAGAAATTTCAAAATGCACTTACCCAAGAATCCACACCACTGTTTTCACTGATTGTCAGACAATGTTTCACATCACCTTTCTTGTGTCTTAGAGTTCATTCTCTCTATGAATAAAAATGAAAGAAATGACCATGTGTTACACGATCCCCTTCATTTATTTCTATACCTCCTTCACTCATTACTTCGTGACTACTACAAATGAAGTGTTACATGCTGAGCTGGGGCAGGACAGATCAAGATAAGGAGGCACGGAGGGACTGAAAACTCCATGACTACCAAAAACAGGTCCATTACTAAGTGAAAAAAGCCACGTTCACTGAATTTCTATTCCTTTTCTTTCTTGCTTTTTATTGTATTTATTTTTGGTACTGGAGATGGAACTCACAGCCTCATGCTTGCCACGCAGGCACTCATGCCACTGAGCTAAATCCCTGGGCCTTTCATTTAAATTTCTATATCAAGAGGAGGGAGAGACACTATATCATGCACCATATTCTTCTGCCTTGCTCTCACTCCTTAAGCACTAATGCTGTGCAATGAAAACAATGTTCTTGACTGCATTCACCTGCACTGGATGAGACTTGTTATTTTTCCAGAACTGAGCATGTTAATTGTTGGGGCTTTTTGGCTCAGCAGAGAAACAAAGGCAGAAAAGAAAAAAGGCCTTATCAGTGGGCATGGGAGAGCTGCCAAAGAGTGCAAGATCCCTCTGAGGCAGACAAAGAACCATGGGGCTTTGATTAGGTTTGACAGGGGATGGTGTGTGAAGAGGCGGGCAGAAAGACCTACTGACAGCTGATGGGGGAGATGCTGGCACATGCAGGAAAAGCAAAAAGGTCAACTGGAGCTCGGAGGAAGAACACAGAAATCAATATTAGAGGGACACGCTGTCATGTTAGGGTCCAGCACCAGGTTGGGCAGGCACCACGTGAGGTCTGGCAGGCTCCCACATGAGTGAAACCTATCACTAATTCAAGCGGATTTCATACCAAGAGCGGCCCGTAGGGTGATATGGCGCTGATGCTGACTTCGCAGGGACACCTCCTCCTGTACTTCATTGTGGCCCCGTCTGCCACCCAGTGTTCTTTCTTCTACTGTTCAGTTTCTTTAAGTCAAGGAATGAAACACCTAAAGGAAATAGCAAGGAAGGCTGCATCAAAAACCACGACTGTTTCCTGGTTTATTACCAATAATACCTCCACTCACAAAATTATAGAACAATAAACAAAATTACAAACCAGGCGACTTTAGATTTATAGGAAAGTTAGAACATCTCAATATACTAGGATTATAGTAAAATAGATATACACATCTCTCATATGCACTTATATGCACATATTTTGTGAGATACTCATTAAATTCCTTTGTTGTGAAATAATTCTAGCTTTCATTTCTTGTAAATTGCCTGATTATAGACTTTGATATTTATTCAGTGAATCAATCCTTCAATTTTATAGCCTTAAATCTTTGGTTGTCAGTCAAAACTGCCTAACACTGCTTTTCATTATGATAGACAATGTGAAATCTGCACTTCTACAAAATTTCTACACACATTATTACAATTTTATTACCTATAGGCACACTGTTGTAACAGAAGTACAGAATTCATACACCTTCGATACCAAAAGCCCAGCAATGCACATTCCCCTCATCCTCAGACCCTGGAAATCACCATTCTACTGCCTCCTTGAAAGGTTGCTATATTTTAAGCATCTCATATAAAGAAAATCGTGTAGTATGTGTCCTTCTGTGATTGGTCTACTTCACTAACCTTTCTGGGTTCTTCTGCAAAACAACAGAAACCAGGAGTGAAACCATCTGCGCTCCCATGTTCACAGCAACACTTTCCATAACAAACAAGATGTAGAAGCAATATAAACGTTACTATTGCAATGGATAAAAACCAGGCCATACGATTCCTACAATTCAAAAGTATTCTGCCACTAAAAAGAAGGGAACTCTATCATAGGTAACAATGCAAGTACATTTCTTTCAAATTAATTTAGTAGCCATAGAACTTTGTTAGGGAAAGATGGGAAGCCCCAGATAACTTCTCTCCCGCACAAATGACAACTGGAACCAGACACAGGCAGAAAGCATGTACTGTACTTCAAAATGCTGCAAGCACGCAGTACCAGGCAAATGGGGACTGGAATCCAAAGGAGAACAACAGCCCATAATGGGCTGTTCCATGTTGAGTTTCTCCTTCTGTGTCTTCCAGCTTTGTCTAGGGAAAGTAAATTCCACTAATCACTGAAAGAATAAATTCTGGACCCCAATCCTTGTTTGTATCCAGAGAAGTGTGGACTTCTGCTCGGGGCTGGGGGTGCGTCTGAGGCTTAAAGAGTCATCCCCATCCCACTTTTGTGCGTTTTTTTCCTTACCGGTTGCAAAGTTGTCCAGCAGTCTCAAGAGAGGCAGAGGGACCTAAAGCCCCAACAGATGACCTGTGCCCACAAAGGAACAGGCAGTGACTTCTGCTGTATGAAGAGAATGAGGAAAATTGCCACTATGTTTGTACTCTATTCCTGTTGCTGATGGCCTGAGGGTTGACCTGCCCTGGGGAAGTTCTCTTCTTGTGGCAGGAAAATGTAAATGGCATTTTAAAGAGGAGAGAGCTGCAGAAAGAAATCACTGAAGTCTGTGTAAGAGCCAGCACAAGGTCTAGACTCACACTGAGCGGCTTGCACAGAATAGTTCCAAAGAAGCAAGGCAAAGGCTTTGGAAAGCGACTGAGCTATCAACCACCAGGCATCCAGTAGACCACCGGGGCTGGGGGTGGGGCACTGTGGCCTGAGCACAACCTGGACACTGCAAAGCAAATGCAGGATGCGGTCTGATCCTGCTGCCTTGACAGCTTTGCAGAACAACAGAACAAGAGAAACCATTGCTTGCCTGAGGATAGGAACCAGAGTCTCCTAAATCAACCAGCAAACTGTCCAGGGCATTATCCAAAACTAAGCAATAGTACATATAGAAAATTGAGACCATCTGACCAATCCTCAAGGGAAAGGGCAATATCCAGCCCTGAAACAACCCACTTAAAGGAAGGATCATGGAAAACACCTACCATGAAAGCAGAAAGCCTGATCAAACTGTAGACACTTTGTTAAGCAAAGGTAAAGCCATTCTGTTCTCAGCCACGGAACTCAGCTAAATCATATGATTTCATCCAACTGAAAGCCCTGGGAACGTGGTGACAACTTTGCTACACACAACTATGTTCACCACAAGATAGCCATTGTACCACAACCTTCAGCTAAAAGCTTGCAACTGTCCCCTGCAACCTGTGTTTGCCACTCTATAGAAAAGACAAGCTCTATGCAATCACCCCCTTAGACTTTGAGGATGACTCCCCTGGAGATCACTAAATTTCCTTTCTTCTCCTGAGCTCCTGGTTACTGTTGGGTCAGTTTCCCCTACAACACTAGAAACAACCATTCTCATAGACAGAGAGAGAGACAGAGAGACAGAGAGAGAGAGAGAGAGAGAGAGAGAGAGAGAGGGAAAGGCCAATACCCTTGACATGAATGGAATATGACATCAATGGAATTCATTTAATGGAAATAAATAAGCTTCCATCAGAAAAAGAACAAGAGTCCAAGACTCTGCGGGGCATTAAAATGCCAATCTAAAAGCAAAGAGAAAGAAAAAAGAACAAAACAGTTAAGAGTCTCAGAGACATGCAAAGCAACATAAAACATTTTAACATTTTACCATCCTCGTGGGTAAAGGAGGAGTTGAGGAACAAGAGAGATACAGGATAAAGTAGGAGATAGGTCACAATTCATGGAAAACACATCTAAGATGCTGGGAAAAGTCTCACCCAAGACACGTTCAACTCAATACACAAGCATAAAGACAATTCTGCAAAATACTCAGAGAAAATAACAGGACCAATACAAGGAAATGTCAATTTAAAACTTCCCATGGAAAACACACCAGCCACAAGAGACTGAGAGAACACCTTGCAGGGCCGAAAGAAAAGGTCCCCCCAGGCACTGTGTGCCTGTGATGTAAGTTCTGGGGCCCAAATGAATATAAACAGGAAGGTTAGAGAAGGGGAGAAAAACGCAAGAGAATCTGTTACTAGAAGGCTTGCTACAGAAACACACGAAGGGATTTTCTTCAGGTTGAGGGTAAAAGGCAGGAACAGGCAGGGTGTAACTTCAGGAATCAAAGAGGAGGAAAGGAATGCTGCCTGTTTGGATACCAGAGGCTGGTTACTCTCCTCTTCAGTTCACACACAGGGCAAGAGCAGGAAGATGCAAAAGCCTGATGCCAAAGCTTTCAAGTGTCCCAGGCAGGGCTCAGGCAGGAACCCTGCTCCCCTGGTCCCTCCTCCTAGGATCAGGGCCCACAGGTGACAGCCCCAGGGCTCTGCATCAGGGCCCTCAAGGGACTGCAGCAGCTCATTTCCCCTTAGCTGTCCGCCTCAGCCTGGGTAGGAGGGCGGGAAACCTGCAGCCTGTTTGCAAGCAATGGCAATCCCTCAGGGTCGCGGGCTCCTGTCCCCATCTTGCTGCAGAGAGGCAGAGGGACCGCCCTCCCTGGAAGGTTACAAAATGTTGCAAACGCGCCGGGCGTGCGGCTTTTGACCGTTTGTGCACGCGGGCACGCGGGCCTGAGCACCCGCCTGCGGGGCGGGTTTTGGTCTCGAGCTGCGAAGCCGCGTCCTGGCAACAAAGCATTGCGGTTCAGGCCACAGAGCAGTTGGCTGCTCCAAGCAGTGCGCTCTGCCAAGGTCTGGGATAGAAGTACCCCCCGTTCCCCAATAGTTCCGGGGAGCAGTGCGGCGGGGCTAGCTTTGCCCCGCAGCCCTGCTCCCTGCCCGCGGGGGCAGGAACTTGCCCCCAGGGCCCACCTTTGTGGGCCCCTCTCGGCACCTGCCCAGAGCCCTGGGTGGGCGCATCCCGCTTAGCCAGTGTGCCCGCGGATCCGGTCCTGACGTCTGGCATCAGGCATCAGGCATCCCGGGCTTGACCTCAGTGCTCTGGGCAAGAGTGCCCGGAGCACTGTTCCCCTACCTGCAGGCCCTTTTGGCCCTTGAGGCCCTTGAGGCCCTTGCGGCCCTTGGGGCCCATGGGCCAACAGGTAGGCTCTCTTCTGGGGAGGCCAGTGCTTCCCGCAGAGGATTTTCAGACACGCCGCAGCAGCAGCCGTAGGTCCTCCCGCAGGGACTGCTCGGGCATTTGGCTCTTGAGGCAGGAGGCTCAGCAGAGGAGGGCCGCCCAGGAGGCTGCGAGGCCCCTGTCCGCCTTCAGGCCCGTGGTGGGCCGGCGAGGCCAGGTGCCTTATGTCCCCAGGCCTGGGCCTCTGAGCACAGACCACCGCAGGCAGAGCGCCAGAGCTCCAGCTGCCCCCTCCCCCCAGCCCTCCTGTGTGAGCTCCACCAAGCGAGATGCCATCAGCAGCTCCTACAGCTCCACCGGGGGGCTGCCAGGACAGCGCAGGAGGGCTGCAGCCCACTCGCACCCCAGGCCGCCCCAGGGCTCCGCCAAAGATCTGAAGGCGGCCAGGCAGGACAGACTCCAGCAACCGTGTTCGGCCCCCCAAGTTCCCCGCAAGACCGGGAACGAGGTGGTGGCAGACACACCATCCAGACACGAAGAAACCAGAAAGGAACACGAGATGACACCAGTGGGTGCTGGCCTAGGAAGAAGAAAGATCCCTCTCCTGAGGCGTCGCCAAGGGCCACCCCTCAGGCTGCCACCACCTCCGGAACTGAGCTATAAGATCACCGCGGAGCACATAGGTCAGGAGAAGGAGGCAGCATTCCAGCTTGTGAATGCCAGGCTGATGGGTAAGTTGCAGGCCCTAGACATCAGCAGCACCACACAGCCTGTCTGCCCTCCTCCCCTGCCTGCCACAGGTACTGCTCCTGAACCCTTGATCTCTGCGGGGGAGAGTAACCACAGAAAGCAGCAGGACTCCACCCTCACCAGTAGCCCTCAGCCTTCCTGCTCTGCTTCCCAGCCTCTGCCAGGTACTGATCCACCCATGATCCCTGCAGGGAAAGGTAAGAACAGAAAGAGGGCCCTAAGAACAGAAAGGGCCCCTAAGATCTTTGATGTCACAGAGCCTTCCTGCTCTGCTCCCCTGGCTGTCCCAGGGACAGCTCCTCCACACACCATTCCCACAGGGAAGGGTAAGAACAAAAGGGAGAAGGTCCCTGAGGTCTTTGACCCCACATGGCTTTTCTGCTCTGCTCCCCTGGCTACTCCAGGGACAGCTCCTCCAGACACCATTCCCACAGGGAAGGGTAAGAAGAAAAGGGAGAAGGCCCCTGAGGTCTTTGACCCCACACAGCTTTTCTGCTCTGCTCCCCTGGCTACTCCAGGGACAGCTCCTCCAGACACTATTCCAACAGGGAAGGGTAAGAAGAAAAGGGAGAAGGCCCATGAGGTCTTTGTCCACACACGGCTTTTCTGCCCTGCTCCCCTGGCTACTCCAGGGACAGCTCCTCCAGACACCATTCCCACAGGGAAGGGTAAGAACAAAAGGGAGAAGGCCCCTGAGGTCTTTGACCACACACGGCTTTTCTGCTCTGGTCCCCTGGCTACTCCAGGGACAGCTCCTCCAGATACCATTCCAACAGGGAAGGGTAAGAAGAAAAGGGAGAAGGCCCCTGAGGTCTTGGACCCCACACAGCTTTTCTGCTCTGGTTCCCTGGCTACTCCAGGGACAGCTCCTCCAGACACCATTCCAACAGGGAAGAGAAAGAACAAAAGGGAGAAGGCCCCTGAGGTCTTGGACCCCACACAGCTTTTCTGCTCTGGTTCCCTGGCTACTCCAGGGACAGCTCCTCCAGACACCATTCCAACAGGGAAGGGAAAGAACAAAAGGGAGAAGGCCCCTGAGGTCTTGGACCCCACACAGCTTTTCTGCTCTGCTCCCCTGGCTGCCCCAGGGACAGCTCCTCCAGACACCATTCCAACAGGGAAGGGTAAGAAGAAAAGGGAGAAGGCCCCTGAGGTCTTTGATCCCACAGAGCCTTCCTGCTCTGCTCCCCTGGCTGCCCCAGGGACTGCTCCTCCAGACACCATTCCAGCAGGGAAAGGTAAGAACAGAAAGAAGGCCCCCAAAGAGAAGACAAGCAGGGAACCTTTAAGCTCTGCTCCCCTGGCTGCCCCAGGGACTGCTCCTCCAGTCACCATTTCAGCAGGGAAAGGTAAGAACAGAAAGAAGGCCCCCAAAGATAACAAATGCATGGAGCCTTTGGGCTCTGCTCCCATGGCTGCCCCAGGGACTGGACCTCCATCCACTGTGCCTGCAGGGAAGAGTAAGAACAGAAAGGAGAAGCCCTTCCTGGGCTCTGGGAACCCACTGACATCTCCAGCCACAGCTACAGCCTCTGCTGTACACACAGACACTAACAGAACAGACCTTCCAATGGACATCACACCTCCACCTGATCCTCTCCTTTCTGGGCCTCTGGCCCCTGACACCAGTGGCAGCTCCCTCCCTTCTGCACAGCCAACTGTGACACTGCCCCTTGGCAGCACAGCCATAGCCATGGGCTCTGGTCCCCAGGTGGTGCCCAGCTTTGGGCTGTCCTCTATATACGTCACACCCCCACACAATGCTCCTCTTCCGGGGCCTCCCACTGGCACCAGTGGGAACTCCTTCCCATCTGCACAGATGACTGTGGCACCGCCCAGTGGCAGTACAGCCACAGCCATGGGCTCTGGTCCCCACATGGTGCCCAGCTTTGGGCCGTCCTCTATATACGTCACACCCCCACACAATGCTCCTCTCCCAGGGCCTCCCACTGGCACCAGTGGGAACTTCTTCCCATTTCCACAGATGACTGTGGCACCGCCCAGTGGCAGTACAGCCATAGCCATGGGCTCTGGTCCCCACATGGTGCCCAGCTTTGGGCCGTCCTCTATATACGTCACACCTCCCAACAATGCTCTTCTTCTGGGGCCTCCCACTGGCACCAGTGGGAACTTCTTTCCATCTACACAGATGACTGTGGCACCGCCCAGTGGCAGTACAGCCATAGCCATGGGCTCTGGTCCCCACATGGTGCCCAGCTTTGGGCTGTCCTCTATATACGTCATACCTCCCAACAATGCTCTTCTTCTGGGGCCTCCCACTGGCACCAGTGGGAACTTCTTCCCATCTCCACAGATGACTGTGGTACCGCCCAGTGGCAGTAGAGCCATAGCCATGGGCTCTGGTCCCCAGGTGGGTCCCAGCTTTGGGCCATCCTCCATATACGTCACACCTCCCAACAAGGCTCCTCTTCCAGGGCCTCCCACTGGCTCTAGTGGGAACTCCTTCCCATCTACACAGATGACTGTGGCACCGCCCAGTGGCAGTACAGCCATAGCCATGGGCTCTGGTCCCCAAGTGGTACCCAGCTTTGGGCCATCCTCCATATATGTCATACCTCCACACAATGCTCCTCTTCCGGGGCCTCCCACTGACACCAGTGGGAACTTCTTCCCATCTGCACAGATTAGTGTGGCACCGCCCAGTGGCAGCATAGCCACAGGCACATCCTCTGCTCCCCAGACAGGGACTGACACCGGAGTAGAACCTATGGATACCACACCTCCAGCTGATCCTCTTCCTGGGGGGGCTCCTCCTGGCACCAGTGGGAACTCCTTTCCATCTGTACAGATGTCTATGGCACCACCCAGGGGCAGCACAGCCACAGGCACGTCCTCTGCTCCCCAGACAGGGACTGACACCGGAGTAGAACCTATGGATACCACACCTCCACCTGATCCTCTTTCCCAGGGGGCTCCCGCTGGCACCAGTGGGAACTCCTTTCCATATGTACAGATGTCTATGGCACCACCCAGGGGCAGCACAGCCACAGGCACATCCTCTGCTCTGCAGACAGGGACTGACACTGGTGTAGAACCAATGGATACCACACCTCCACCTGATCCTCTTCCCCAGGGTGCACCCACTGGCACCAGTGGGAACTCCTTTTCATCTGCACAGATGACTATGGCACCACCGAGTGGCAGTACAGCCACAGGCACATCCTCTGCTCCCCAGTCAGGGACTGACACTGGTGTAGAGCCTATGGATACCACACCCCCACCTGATCCTCTTTCTCAGGGGGCTCCGGCTGGCACCAGTGGGCACTCCTTCCCATCTGTGCAGATGACTGTGGCACCGCCCAGTGGCAGCATAGCCATAGCCATGGGCTCTGGTCTCCAGGTGTGGCCCAGCTTTGGGCGGACCTCTGCATATGTGGCAGCCCCACACAATTCTCTTTTTCCGGCGCCTCCCCCTGGCACCAGTGGGATCTCCTTCCCATCTGCACAGCTGAATGTGGCAAGGACCAGGGGCAGAAAGATCACAGCCTCTTCCTGGCTAGGACAGAGCTTGAGCCTTGGTGCGCCCCCACATAAACGGCGCTCTTAGGGTTCCTCCAGCACCCTGACCACCCTGGGGGCCGCTGATGGGCAGCAGCATGGAGCAGCCACCAATACCCACGGTCTCCATTTCTGGGCCCTGGCAGCTCCAGCTCTAGGCCTAGCCCCACCCCCTGTTTCAGGTCAGCCAGCCTCCTGTAGCCCAGCACAGGCAGCCTTTGGCGATCCTGACTCACAAACACGACCTCAGGCATCTTGGACAGCTACCAGGCAGCTTCTAATGTCACCCGTGTCTTTTCCCTTCTGGAACTTCAATCGCAGCTGCCTTTGCCACAGCCACCTACATGCCCAGTGCTCTGACCCAAGTCTGGAACAGCAGATGGCCTTTCTCCAAGGTAAAGCTCAGTCCTTATCCAAGGTAAAGCCTGGCTAGAGCTCAGGCTTAGTGATGGTGACAGCTTCCGGTTCAACAAGGGGCCAAACCAAGGGAAGATATGGGTGCACCCAGAACTTATAACCACAGTTAGGGCACTGAGCATGTCTTCAATGTGAGGAGACAGGGCCTTGGGGAACCCAGGGATGTGAGAAGCAAGGCTGCCTCAAACCACCCACCCAAGCCGGCCTCTAACCTTGGCCTTCCTGCTTCTCAAGGGGGCAAAGTTAGGAGGAAGCTGGCCTTCAAGGCCTCTGCACACAATGCTGCTCAGTGAGCCACCAAATCAATACCACAAAAACTCGTGAGTCCATACCGATATAATTAAAATTATTGAATAAATTGACAAAGTAGGGAAAAGAGATGTAAATATAAACAAGCTATGTACAAATATCCTAAGTTTCCTCCAAATGCTAATGCCTAGACAAACCAGCACTGGCTGTCTCCATCCTCACCAGGGAACGGCAGCTACTAGGATCCAGCCACCTCTGACTATGTGATTCATCCCAGGGAACACTCCTCACCTCTGAGGCACAAGTCAAGAAAGCACAGTCTAGTGGCACAAGGGAACACGCAGACTTTCCTCTGCAGTTCAGACTTGCCAAGTACAAAGTCATGCCTGGGCTCCTGGGCTCCTGGGCTCCTGGGCTCCTGGGCTCCTGGGCTCCTGGGCTCCTGGGCTCCTGGTCTCCTGGGCTCCTGGGTTTCTGCGCTCCTGGGTTTCAGGGCTTCTGGGCTCCTGTCAGTGTCAGCGTCAGTGATGGTAGGAGCCCAGGAGCCCAGGAGCCCAGGAGCCCAGGAGCCCAGGAGCCCAGGAGCCCAGGAGCCCAGGAGCCCAGGAGCCCAGGAGCCCAGGAGCCCAGGAGCCCAGGAGCCCAGGAGCCCAGGAGCCCAGGAGCCCAGGAGCCCAGGAGCCCAGGAGCCCAGGAGCCCAGGAGCCCAGGAGCCCAGGAGCCCAGGAGCCCAGGAGCCCAGGAGCCCAGGAGCCCAGGAGCCCAGGAGCCCAGGAGCCCAGGAGCCCAGGAGCCCAGGAGCCCAGGAGCCCAGGAGCCCAGGAGCCCAGGAGCCCAGGAGCCCAGGAGCCCAGGAGCCCAGGAGCCCAGGAGCCCAGGAGCCCAGGAGCCCAGGAGCCCAGGAGCCCAGGAGCCCAGGAGCCCAGGAGCCCAGGAGCCCAGGAGCCCAGGAGCCCAGGAGCCCAGGAGCCCAGGAGCCCAGGAGCCCAGGAGCCCAGGAGCCCAGGAGCCCAGGAGCCCAGGAGCCCAGGAGCCCAGGAGCCCAGGAGCCCAGGAGCCCAGGAGCCCAGGAGCCCAGGAGCCCAGGAGCCCAGGAGCCCAGGAGCCCAGGAGCCCAGGAGCCCAGGAGCCCAGGAGCCCAGGAGCCCAGGAGCCCAGGAGCCCAGGAGCCCAGGAGCCCAGGAGCCCAGGAGCCCAGGAGCCCAGGAGCCCAGGAGCCCAGGAGCCCAGGAGCCCAGGAGCCCAGGAGCCCAGGAGCCCAGGAGCCCAGGAGCCCAGGAGCCCAGGAGCCCAGTTTCAACACAGTTCTTTTATTTTCCTCTTGGTTCTTGGTTACAAACATCTCCTGTCATTCTTCCTGCTTAGAGAAGATACTTCCTGTGAAGTCAAAGCTTTCAAACACTGTGCAACTTCTGGGTCCTGCACTCCAGGTTCATCCCCTGTGGTCAGAGAAGATACTTTGTATGATACTTTGGGATTTTCACAATATCCTGAGCATGACCTCACATATGGGACTTAGGGAATGTTTCATGTAAAATTGGGACAAAACACTGTGTTAGGGCTCCTGAATGGTGCACAGTAGATAACTCTGAGGTCTAACCACTTTAGAGTTTTATTCCAGTTCTTTTTTATTGCTCTGCTTGCTGCTTAATATATTTATGATTGAAATTTCAGGATAGAACTCTCCTAGAATTGTTCAATGGCGTGTTCTTCAGTATTTTCTGTCCTTCCACTTTCCACTTATTCCTAGTTTAGACTCTAACCTGCACAGTGACAGCATAGAGTTGGATCCTACTTTGTCACCATTCTTCAGTCTCTGACTTTGACTTTCATATTTTATTCCATTAATTTTTATTTACTGTGACCTTTGCTTCTCACATTTTATGTCTTTATTAGTTTTGTTCATTTCCTCCATTATTGCCCGTGTCTTTGTTTTGTTTTGTTTTGTTTTGTTTTGTGGTGTATCAGTTTGGTTCCCTTCTCAATTCATTTTCTGTTTAATTGTAGAAATGTGTATTGGTTACCCTATTAGGTTTTTTCTACTATAGCAAATGTGTAGGATAATGATGTTATACAGTAATGATATCCACTGACTCAGTTTGCAAGGTTCCAGTCCAGGGTTCATTACATTGTTGTTCTTACTGCTTTGGCCCTTGGAAAACAGCACAGCATGGTGGGCCTACGTGGCAGAGAGAAACCACCCCACACAGGGAAAGAAGTCAAAATCTCTCACTAGGCCACACCTCTTCAAGGTTGTACCCCTCCCCCTGGCACCGCCCTGGGTTGACCTTTAGCACGTGGGCCTTTAGCGTGCCAAAACAGTGAAGCTGAAGGTGCCAATGAAATCTGAATTCTATAACAAGGTAGTTTAAATTAATACAAAGTAAGCTCTGATGTTTGGCATAGAGAATTTCAATGTAAATGTTCTGTTTTGATTGCCAGCTAGGAGACAAATGCTATCGCCTGCTTGTGTGATGCATCTTTGCAACATGTGAGCAAGGAATGGGCATGCACTGGAAAGGAGAAGGGCAGGCCCGGCCTGTGGTGGAAGCATCAGTAACTGAGGTGCCCACAGCACATGCAGTGACCTGGCGTGAGCAGAGGCGGTAGCTCAGGCTGAGCACTGTGTACCTTGTGGTCTTCTTAGCTTGAGAGTTGAGGTTAGTGGCACAGACACTTCAGGACAGCCTCTTCCCTTCCCTGTCTCATCTGAGGGGATGGGGCCTAAAAGTACCCAAAGTCTACACAAGGGTAACTGCTAACCCTGGCGGCCAGGCTCTGCAGCTCCTGCCAAAGATGACGATTTGGTTGATAAACCTGCTCTTTCCTCAGGAGGACCAGCGAAAAGATCTTAAAGAATGAAAGCACAGGTGCCGCTCAGGTCCTAGACAGGTTGGAAGCAAAATACAGATACCTTTTAAGGAAGTAATGTGTGTTTTTGATACATAATGATTGCGTCCATCATGGGTCGATGGTACCTGTGCGGGACACATCTTGATTCTCTTTGCCTCCCTGCTCCTCTCGCCTTCCCCTCCCTGCGTTTATTGGCCCTCTTCTCATTTGCAAAGGTCTCTATTCCTGTTTCCTGTCATGTATCTTTTGTTTTGCTCTTTAATTAATGTATACTTTGGGTTTCTTTCTTCTTCAGGGACGTGTCTATTCCTGTCAGTTGCCCAGATTTGATCTTTGATTTTGGGAGATCTAATTTCTTTCTTAGTTTACATATGTCAGGTATGGGTCATCTATTGGAAACATAGGTGGCAGAATATTTTTGCCATCCTGTAGGCTATCTCAGCACTCTGCTGGTTGTTTGTTTGGGTGTGAAGAAGCTTTTTAATTTGATGTGATCCCATTTGTGAATTCTTGATGTTATTTCTCATGTCATTAGGTTCTGTTCAACAAGTCCTTGCCTACAACCCTGACTTCAAGAGTTGTACATATTTTGTCCTCTAGCATGTTAAGTGATTCTGCCTTAATATTTATGTACCTGATGTGTTTTGATTTTAGTTTAGTACCTGGTGATGTACACAAGTTTAGGCTCAATGTTCTGCACATGGACAGCCAGTTTTCCTAGAACCATTTGCTAAAGACTCTGTCTTCCTCCAGAATGTTTTTGACTCCTTTGTCAAACATCAGATGGCTGAAGGTGTCTGGAGTTGTTTTTTATTTTTGTTTGTTTGTGTGTGTGTGTG